TCTATCCCTCTCCTTTCCTCTCTATAAAAAATTAAAATAAATATTTTTTAAAAAGAAAGAAAAAATTTGCACTCCCAAAATCCCACAAGTAGAAGACAGACTTAGAAATCTCAGCTGCAAACACATACTACTTTTCATGGAAAATAAAAGATGAATCAGAAGGCAGAACCAAAAGCCTATGGGGTCAAGAGCCATAGAGATTATTTCCAGGCTTTGTAACCTAATCAAGGAACTTCCAACCTTTGCCTGGCTGGGTTCTGGAATTGCTACAGACTCCCTGACGCCTCTTTTGAGCAGAACTGTCTGTCGTGGTTATCCTCTGTCCCACCTCATAGTTTAAATGTATGGGGGGCAAATAACTTGTCCCTTTAGTTCACAGGTCTTTAGAATAAGAGACCTTTACTGGAGGATAGTTGATACATCCGGGGAGACTTATCCATACCAAAAGCTACGTTAGAAGCCAACATTCTGGACTTGAAGCCAAGGTTCTGGAGAAATGAGACTTTGGGGGTTCTTGAGAAGGGAATGTATTTTGCATGTGGGGGGAATATAAATAATTTGTGGCCGGAGAATGGACTCCTTCCTTCAAAAGGTGAAGCCTAATTTTCCTCCCTTGAGTACAGGCTGTACTTATTTCTAAGGGATAGAAGGTGGAAGAAGTGACACTAATGATATTCAGTTCTCTCGCTCTCATGCTCTCTCACCAGTTGCTATGTTATGAGTATCTACAAGAAGCCCTATGGAGAGACACATATGGCAAGTAACAGACTTTCAACCAACAGCAGGAAAAACAAAACAAAACAAAACAAAACTAACCACAGGTCTCTTGCCAACAGGCATGGAAGTTAGCTTAGAGTCAGATCCTCCAGCATCAGCCAAGCTTTCAAAGAAAATCCTTCAGATGACTGCAACCTCTGGAGAGCTTCTGAGCCAGAATCCCCCAGCTAAGACTCCCTAATCCCTGATCCACAAAAACTGAGAGATATTGATTCTCTTATAACTTGTTTTTTGCTGTTGCTTTAAGCTCCTAAGTTTTGGAGTAATTTCTTGCACAGCAATAAGTGACTGATGCACAGGGTAAAATAATTTAATATATGGCAATTTCAACAATATGAATTGGAGATTGAATCTTGGAAATGTGGGAGGCAGTTAGACAGACGTAAGCTCAGCGAGCGTTACCGGGAAACCCCCGGGCGAGCTAGGGCTGCCTGTCGCCATGTCCAACACCAAAGCGTAAATGGAGAGGGCCAGCCACCCAAGAAGACAGGGAGCTTACAAGCATCCAAAATCTGCCTTACAGTAAGGTGCCGGGGACAGGGTAAAGGAAAAATGGGGTTGGGAATAGAATGCAAATGCATGCAGTCCTGGACCTTCAGCAGGCGTCAGTCATTGCTCTTGGTGTCAGACAATGAGATTGGCTCCTGATGGGGTTGGCCTGGTCCTGCTTTACAGTCCTGCTTGCACGTTGGGTACCGTATACATTGTCTGCCGTTGAATCACCTCTTCCATCACATTGTTTAGGACCAAAGGGAATATGCAGGTGCGCGCTGGCCTGAGAAATGAAACTCAGAAAAGAAAAAAACAACCCTCTGTTCCCACACATGTATGTATTTCAGAATTTCAAACTAATGTGAAATTTCAAACTCGGATGCTCTGTTAGATTATGAGTCCCCCCATCACAAGGAGGATGGCCAGGTGCCTAGCAAAGGACAATTGGACGGTGGGACCTCGCCCCCAAGGTGACCTTTCCTCCCCTAGCATATAGGTGGTCATTCCACTTGGACCCCCGGACCTTTCCTCCCTGGAGATAACATCTAGGCCTCAGTTGTATTTCAGCTTCATTTCCAGAAAAGCAGCAGAAACAGACCAGTGACCCCATGGCTGGCCTCAGGACCAGCTGTATTGAATAATGACCCCCAGCCCTGATGCTTGCCACCCAAATCTCCACCTTAAAACCCTTATGATGGAGGACACTTGAGCCTTTTCCTCTCTCCCCTCCCTCAGGTGAGCTTCCATTACCTTCCTCACTTTCAAGCTCCTAGGGCCCCTCCTTTGTCTCTATAACTTGTTTTCTCAGCCCATCTCTTCTATGAATTACTGATTCTACCTCTGTAATTTTATAAATAAACTAGAGGCTTAGTGCATGAATTCATGCACAGGTGGGGGCTCTTGGCCTGGCTGGTGATTGGGCCCATCAGGGCTGTCTCGCCCAGTCCCATTAGGAGCTGATGGGGTGGCCGGCTGCAGGGGGGGGGGGGGCGGGGGGGGAGGGACAGTGGGAGGTTGGCTGGCCATGGGAGATTGGCTGTGGGAGTGCACTGACCACCAGGGGGGCAGCTCCTGCATTGAGCATCTGCCCCCTGATAGTCAGTGTGCATCATAGCGATTGGTCAACCAGTTGTTTGGTTGACTGGTCGTAATAGTTGCTAATATATATATATATGAACATATACATATAATATGTTCTCTTACAGTTTGGAGTCTTGGCTTTGAATTCTTTCCTAGCCAGAACTCAAGTACCAAGGTTGCTGAACCCAGGTCCAGTCTGACCCTAGGGTCTAACACCTGTTGCTGTCCCTGCCACCTACTAAGAAACACTACACTGTGTTAGCTTTCAGCTAACAGTAAAAGCTGGCAGTAAATGGTACTGCAAATAAAATATATATAAAGGGAAGAAGAGTGTGAAATGAAGGCTCGCTTTTATAAAACTTTAAGCACGCCCCATAAAGTTTATTCAAAGTCTTTTCTTACAGCTTTTTCTCAACATTTTGGAAATGTACTAACTGTATAGTAGATCTGTTGTTTTGGCCTAATATCAGTTCCTTTTTCTTGAGCAACAAAATACCTCTTCTCCTGCTGGGGAAGTTGGGATCCCTAGTTCATATTGGTCATGTGACTCTACTAACTCTGCCTTAGGGGTGGAAGTGAAATCAAGCTTGGTATTTGGGATCCTTTACCAGGACCAATATGTTTGAATGAGGGACAAAAGCTTTCTGGAGGGGTTGTACTTGATGCCCAAGGGAGAAAGAGCCTGTAGGAAAATTAAGCCAATGCAGGAAAACTGAGCTGAAAGGGAAAGATATAATGAGAGGAAATGAAAGGAGAGAGGTTGGCAGGGGAATGGGATTGGGGGAAGACTGGATTAGAAAAAAGAGGGAAAGAAACTTTTTATCCCTGCCACATTGGATACAATCACATTGTTTCTGTGCGACCTAAATCTGCTACTTTATCTCCAAATATTATATACTAGAGGCCCAGTGCATGCAAATTCATGCACTTGTGGGGGGCAGTCCCTCAGCTTGGCCCTCACCCCTTTTACAGTGTGGGGCCCCTGGGGGATGGATGTCCACCTGCCAGCCTAGGCCCGATCCCCCGGGGAGTGGACCTAAGCTGGCAGTCAGACATTCACTGTCAGCCCGGGAGCCCTTGGGGGATGTCCAACAGCTGGACATTCTTAGTGCCGCCACGGAGGCAGGAGGGGCTCCCACCACCACTGCTGCACTTGCAGCTGTCAGCCCAACTTGTGGCTGAGTAGAGCTCCGCCTGCCGGAGAGCACTGACCACCAGTGGGGCAGCTCCGGCATTGAGCATCTGCCCCCTGGTGGTCAGTGCATGTCATAGCGACTGGTCATTTCTGGTTGTTCTGCTGTTAGGGTCAATTTGCATATTACCCTTTTATTATATAGAACAGAGACCTGTCAGAAATACATACTTACCTTGCTCTTGGGAATTTATTATAAACAATTTCTTTTTTTCTGGAGTTGGGATGGGAATGCCCAGTCTCAGACACATAGGGCTGAGTCATTATGAAACTACCCAATCTTAAAACTATTTTGCTTTATTATTTGGAAACAGCCTAGGTGCCCATCAGCAGATGATTGGATCCAAAAACTTTGGTACATCTACATAATGGAATACTATGCTGCCATAAAAAAGAAGGAATTCTCATCATTTGCAGAAACCTGGATGGAATTGGAGAACATCATGCTGAGTGAAATAAGCCAATCAATGAAAGAGAAATACCACATGACCTCACTCATTGGTGGACGATAAAGCTCATTATAAACTGATGAACCAAGAGACAGAGATAGAGAAAGTAAAGCAACAGGCAGACTGTCAAATTACAGTGGGGAGGGGAGGAAGATCTGGGGGAGATAATAGATCAACCGAAGGACTTATATACATGCATATAAGTACAACCAATGGACATAAAACTCTGGGGAGGGAGGGGATGTGTGGAAGGGAGGAAGGGGGGCCAAAAAAATCAATAAAATATGTAAAATAAATAAATAAATTTAAAAAAACCTATTTTGCTTTATTAAATTGCTTTTAAACCAGGCATCGTTAATGAGTTGAATAAAATATTTGACACGTTTTCATTCTGTTTTGTAATAGAATCGTGGTCATAACTTTTTTTTTTTTTTTAAGTATACTAACACTATTATCCCTTCTTTATAAACATATTCCCTCTTTGTATCATCTGCCTATTAACTTGGCCCACGTTGTCCTTTTGACGCTTTCCAAAGTCTTCTCCCCTCACCCCCAAGATCCTCTCTCAGGGACTATCTTCTGCATCACTTTCAGCCTCCCAGCTGTTCCAAACGCTGCCCCGGGGGGTTGGGTGGGAGGCTGAACTGCCCTTACAGCGAAGCCCAGGTTTATGGGCAAATACATGAAAGCACCGCCGCAGGGGCCGCAGTTTGCGGCGGGCACCGGGGGAGGGTGCAGGGGTGATGGTGACTCGGGCTCCGTCAGGAAGGACCAGCGTCAGGAAGGACCCGGCCCGGCCGCGGGGCGGGGCTCGGGCTGCGCGGACGCGGCGGCGGCGCGCGGGCGGCGGGGCTCCCGGGCCTCACCCGCCGGGGGCGGGGCCGGGCGGGGCGCGCGGTCAGCTGAGCCGGTGACGCCCGCGCCGCGCTTCCTCCTCCGGCCGGGCCGCGCTTAAGGCGGCGCTGGGGCCGAGCCCGGCGACCCGCCGGCAGACCCGCCTTCTCCCCGCCATGGAGCCGCGCGCGCTGCGGCCCCCGAGGCTGCCCGGGCTGCTGGCGGCGCTGGCGCTGCTGCTGGCGGCGCCGGGGCCCCGCGCCTCGGCCGCGCGGGGCCCGGAGCTGTGGCCTCTGCCGCTGTCGGTGCAGGCGGCCCCGCGCGTGCTGCACCTCTCCCCCGACGCCTTCCACATCGCCAACGACCCCGCGTCCAAGGCGGGCGCGTCCTGCACCCTCCTGCAGGAGGCCTTCCGCCGGTGAGTGCCGCCCGCGCCCGGCGGGGGAGGGGGACCCGGCGCCTCCGGCACCTGCACCGCCGCCCGGCCGCCCAGAGGCGGAGAAACGGTCTCCGAGCCGGGGAGCCGGGACCGAAGTCCACCGGGCGGCAGAGGCAGCTCGAAAGCGGAACGGCGCCCCGGCTGTGCCCCACCCCCTCCTGCCGCCGCCGGGTCCGCCTTGACCCCCGGAACCCCAGGTTGCGAATGGGACACTCCGTGGAGCAGGTTCCCCTCGGAGGGAGTAGAAGAGGGTGGGTGGACGGGAGGGAGGACGAGAGGAAGGGAAAAAAAAAAACCCCGGTAGCTTCGTGTCAGAAGGGAGTTCAAGAGGAAGATGAGTGCTTCAAGCTTGGGGACCTGGGGTTCCCCAAAGTTGGTGGTTGTGTTTGGGCCGGATCCCCGGCCACCCCCAGGCCGGTAACAGCCCAGAGGGCGGGAAGCCCTGAGCTTGGAGCACGCTGCCTAAAAGCACGCCTTTCCCCCTCCCGAACCCAGTGCCGGGACGTTGGATGTTTCCCTCTGGTGACTGTGGCCGGTGCACCGCAGCCTCTGGCTGCTTGTTTTCCCGGCAGCTGTCACGCGCTCCCGCTTTGCGTCCTTCCTCCTGAATTGTGTAAGGGGGCGGCCGCCCACAGCCTCGCTTTGCTCACAACACCCCGAGCCAGCCGATTGCATTTGGGGAGACAGTTCGTGCCTCACGTTGCCTCCTCTCTGTGGGACCCGTGTAGGCGAGTTAGTGCCCGAAGGGTTGTAACTGGGTCCTCTCCGTATTGCCTCTCCCGCCCCCGGCCCCGATTTTGTCTCCCGTTTCCAGTGGGTATGGTAGCTTAATTGCACCTGCAGCACACCAAGCAGTTGGTGGGGGAGGGGGGGGAACAAAAACACGCCAAACCAGCTAAGAACACCTGCTGGCCCCAGAAGCTGAGAGCAGCGTGGGCTCCTGCTCTCCCTCAGTTTCCTACAACTAAATGGGTGTTGTTACCTTCTTCTTAGAAGCTACCTTAACAGGTCAGGGCAGCCAGGGGCCAGGGGAAGAAGTGAAAACAAGGTGGTTGGCTGCCTGGGGTGTTGAGGAGGGAAAAGCACCTGATGGCCATCTGAAGGAAGGGGTCATGCACGGCTGGGCACACAGCCTCCTGTTTGCGTGGGGACTCGGTCTTTAAGAGGGAGTTTCCTCCTGGGCCATTTTCCACTAGTAAAACAAGGGCTTGGGACTATGCCAGAGAGAGGTGAGCGAGGCAGGAAAGCATGGGTGACAGGTTGAGGATGGCTAGACAACCAGGACTTGAATCAGCTGTGATATGGTGCAAAAACAAGGCTTGGCATTCCCAGGCAGGGCGGGTCATTACCTGGGGTTTGCCTCACTAATCAGCTGTTAATTACAGCCTGCCTGGTTAGGAAGCAGGTTGTAAAACAGCCCTATGGCTAAGGCCTGCAAGCATTCAGGTGAATGTTCTAGGAACTCGGGAGGGGCAGTGTCTCTCAGAGGACACGCAGGATGGGGCTGGGAAGAGTTAGAGGCGGCGGTCCAAAGCTCTCCACAGCCTAGGCCCCGGGTGGTTCAGCATCCCCTGGCTCCTGGCTCAAAGCCCAGCTGCTGGCACAAACTCTGCTCTGGAGCAGCCTGCCGGCGGAGAGCTGGGTGCGTGGCTGCTTCCTCAGCTTCTGTATTGGTCCGTCACATGCTAGTTGTTTCTTAAATTTCTTTTTTTATTGATTTCAGAGAGGAAGGGAGAGATAGATGAGAGAGAATCACTTATTGACTGCCTCCTGCATGTCCCACACAGCCTCCAACCCTGGCATGTGCCCTGATTGTGAACTGAACCCTGACCAGGAATCGAACCCTTAACCTCCTGGTTCATAGGTTGATGTGGATCCACTGGGCAACATCTGCCAGGCCTAGTCGTTTTTTAATGAACAAATAGCTTCAGTCTCAGTTCCTAAAAGGCTGGATTAACCACATATAGGCACAGCTCAGAGCTCCTGCGGGTTCCATTCCAGCCACAGAAATAAAGCAAGCCTCACAACAAAATGAGTTGTAATCTTTATGCCTTCAATTTGTAAAACAATAATAATAATAATAATAATAACAAAAACTTCAGTGAAGCACAAAAATGAGGTATGCTTGTGCCTTGGACACCACTGCTTCCGAGCCCTCTGAGTTTGCTGCTAGAGTTTTAATACCCAGGGCCAGTATTTCCCTTATTTGGGACAAGCCAGCACCTAATTTGGTAAAATGTATGTAAGATTACTGTTTTAATCATTTTTAAGTATATTTCAGTTTCCTTTTGAATCTGTCCAAGTTTTTCTATGAAAAAGGCCCTCAGCTCCTCCTCCATTCCCTGCTCACTGGTTACCTTCCATACACTTCCAAATTCATGGGAACTTTCCTGACTCTCCTTACTACTTTTAAGAAACGCAAGATGTTCTTACACATAGGTAGCATACACAGCCTTCTGGCTTATCAACACCTATAAAATGTTTAGTCCTGGCCAGTGTTGCTCAGTGGGATGGGTGTCATCCTGTTCACCAAAAGGTTGCTGGTTCGATCCCTGGTCAGGGCACATGTATGGGTTTCAGGCTCAATCCCCAGCGCGGGGCATGCAGGAGGCAGCCCATGGATGATTCTCATCATTGCCGTTTCTGTTTCCTCCTTTCATCTCTCTGAAATCAACAGAAGCATTTTTTAAAAAGTGAGATGCCCTTAAAAAAAAAAAAAAAAAAAAAAGCCATGCTTTTTTTAAACCGGTTTGGCTCAATGGATAGAGCGTCGGCTTGGGGATTGAAAGGTCCTGGGTTCGATTCTGGTCAAGGGCATGTACCTTGGTTGCAGGCATATCCCTGTAGGGGGTGTGCAAGAGGCAGCTGATCCATGACTCTCTCTCATCGATGTTTCTCTCTATCTCTCTCCCTTCCTCTCTGTAAAAATCAATAATAATAATAAAAATATATATATATATAGACACAACAGATATTTAAACATGTTGAAGTCTATCTAATCTTTATCACATTTAAGTGTTTATTGAATATCCTCTTTCTCCGATACTTAATAATGGCATATGGTACATTTCCAAGGCCCTAGTGAGAATGCTGCTGTCTGGAGACGTTTCTTGGAGGTTTATGTATCGGCATCGTTTTGTTGGATGATAACAGGACCCTGACTCAGTCTGGCTTAGCTGTAAGAAAACTATTGCCTCACACGTCAGGAAGGCCACAGGCAGGGGAAGGGTTTCAGGCATAGCTAGCTGGCCCAACAGGGTCATTAGGAAATCAGTATTCTTCCCATCTTGGCTCTGCCATCCTTAGTGTGGGTGCAGCGGTCCAGGTCTCACCGAGAAGTTTTCCTTTTATTTTTTCTCTCTATCCTCCTTCTCCCCCCCCCCGCCTTATTTTTTTTTTAAGTTTTCTTCTTGTGGCTCACATAGGAAACTTTCTACTATACCTCCTCCCCACCTCATCACTGGTCAGCACTGGCTTGTACATTCCAGAGTTTGGATCACCATCATTGGTTTCATTATTGGCTCTAATTGGGGACTTTGTACGAGTCACCTGGGAGTGCGGGGAACTCGGCAAATTTCCATGCCTGGGTCCTACTCTCCAAGACCCTGATTCTGAAGGTCTGGACATCAGTGTTTTCAAAAAGCTTCCTCGGTGATTTCATTGTGCAGTGTGAAGTGAGGGGTCTGGTTCAGGGGTGGGGGACACCTAGCCTGCTGGCCATCTAGGGCCCTCAAAGTCATTTGGTTTGCCCCTATTATAGGTGAGTTAATTAAATGTTTGTCCAAATATAGCAGGCTAACTTTTAAGTTGATAATTTTGTGTGGCTGAGAATGGTGTTATTAAATATCCAAATGGGCCTTGGCAGAAAGAAGTTTCCTCACTCCTGCACTCCTTGGACTAACAAGGAGCAGCGTGGATTTGATGGGTCACCGACAGTGTCTGCTACCACATATGTGTTTAATTTTTTTATTAAATTATTATCTGTGTACATATCTTAAAGCTTCGGCGGTTTACAGTTTGTCTGAATATATTCCTCACACAGGTATCAAAACTATATCTTTGGAGACCGCGTGTTGAATCATCTCCCCGCTAAATCTCGCGTTAAAGCGGACATACAGCAACTTCTCGTCTCCGTTGTCCTTGACTCAGAATGTGAAATGTATCCCAGTATCACTTCAGATGAGTCCTGTGAGTACCTATGTAATGTGAATGTGTGTTTAAAGCTGTTACAGATTTAAGTGCCAGAAGCAGTCCTCATGCCATGCACTGTTGTGAGTTCTTGGTTGGTGCATTTATAATTCCTATTTTTAAAATTACCATTAAAGTCTGTTGATGAAAGTGCTGTAAATGGAGGAAATAAATCCCGCATAATCCCAGCACTCAGTTTACCACTGTTATTTCAGATTTTGTAAAAGAGCAATGAGTTTAAAAACATTTTACAAACATATAAACATGCTAGTGATATGGAAGTGGATTAATTTTGTACATGTGATTTTTGTATTTTGCTTTTTTTTATATAGCAACACATTATAAACATGTATTTTACTAAATATTTTTCTGATTAGTAGGACATCATTTTTAATGGCTAAGTAATGTTCTGTCACTGTCTGGATAACTAACTTGGTTAATCCCTTATTTTCGGACATCTAATTTCTTTTTCTTTTTCTTTTTTTAAAATATATTTTATTGATTTTTTTTTACAGAGAGGAAGAGAGAGAGATAGAAAGCTAGAAACATCGATGAGAGAGAAACATCGACCAGCTGCCTCTTGCACACCCCCCACCAGGGATGTGCCCGCAACCAAGGTAAATGCCCTTGACCGGAATCGAACCCAGGACCCTTCAGTCCACAAACTGATGCTCTACCACTGAGCCAAACCGGTTTCGGCGGACATCTAATTTCTTAACTTATTTTGAAGACAGATCTTTGCTTATATTCATCTCTATTTATCATCTAATCTGACACAAAGATAATGCAGAACTCTGGGAGTGGGGAGCTATTTCATTTGCTCAATCAACACATAGCTACATGATTTTTTTTGTTGCTGTTGTAGTTAGTCCTCACCCGAGGACATTTTCCCATTGATTTTTAAAGAGAATGGAAGGGAGGGGAATAGAGAGAGAGAAAAACATCAATATGAGAGAGACATATTGATTGGTTGTCTCCCCGAGGAGCCCCGAGCAGGGCCGGGAATCAAACCTGCAACTGAGGTACATGCCCTCGACCAGAATTGAACCTGAGACCCTTATGTCCACAGGCTGACACTATCCCACTGAGCCAAACTGACTAGGGCTAGCTACGTTATTTTTTGTTGGCTAAAATATTCTCTATGGCTTTTCTCTAATTGTTCAGAAGCAATTGTGCAGGCCTTTCCCATAGGGTGTACTCAATGGGAATAATGTGGAATTATATCAAGGAATCAAAAAGGAGCAATATGAGGATGTGGGTGATACAGATTAGTGCAGAGAGAGCAGACTGGTGAGCTGGGTATAAAAATAGAAAGGATACTGTATATGAGGAAAGAGTGACTCCTTTGTCCTGAGACTGCCCCATCCTCTTGGTATAGATGAGATTTCTTAATACATTTCTCTTCAATGCTGTAGCTGTTCTTGGAAAAGAATTTAATTTGCCAACATTAGCCATGTGATTTCATTTGACAGCACTCAGACACTGTATCTAAATTAGGTTTTGCAATCTGAATGAAGAAAAAAATGGCCATTAAATTATTAAGGAACCTTTGCTGACTGTTAGTAATACAATGACATACATTCCAGAAAATAGACACTGGAGAGTTACAGCTTATCTTCCATTCAGTTTTGCAAACCCTTTTAATTCTGCAAAGGGAGTTTCTTGAGACAAGCTGGTTATGAAATTTCCTCATGAAAAAATAAATTAGTTTTAAGTTTAAACCAGTTTATGATGATCATGATAAAAGTAACACACACAAATGGAAATAAGTTATCAGCTGTTGTTCCAGAGTGTGAGGAAATGTCAAAGGAAGTGGGTGACAAGTGTTACAGCACTCTCTACTAATAAAAATTGCACAACCTCAGAAACAAAAGTGGACTAGTTTCTACTGTAGAGGAATAATTACATATATCAAGGATGTTTGATACAGTTTACTTGTGTGTTTATGTGTCAGTAGGAATACACATAAAGCAATCCTGTATTTTCATGTTGTATGTATTAAAATGCCTATGAAAAGCCTGATGTTTCTTCTGAGGACAATAGAGGGAGTTGAGTGGGCATCTCAAAGGAGACCTGTAACATTTCAGTTTTTAAAGGGGAATATATTGATGTTATTTGTATGTGGGCCCTTTAAAACAAAAGTATGGTGCAAAAGTATAGGAAAGGGCCCTGGCTGGTGTGGCTCAGTTGGTTGAGCATCATCCTGTGCATCAAAAGGTTACTGGTTCGATTTCGGTCAGAACACATGCCCAGGTTTCGGATTCGGTCCCCAATCGGGGTGTGTGTGGGAGGCAACTGATAGATGTTTCTCCCTCCCTCTCCCTAAAAATCAATAAAAACATATATATATTTTTTAAAGTACAGGAAGGGATAACTGAAAAGTCAAAGATGCCACTTCCATGTCAAATCAGGGAGGTAATCATTGTTAAAACTAAAAATTTGGTTTCGAAATAAATATTGAAAATTCTGTAGCTTATGTGTTCACTTAGAAAACAGTTTCTCCTTCTGTTTTATAATTGTGGTTTTTAAAAATATATATATTTCATTGATTTTATACAGAGAGGAAGGGAGAAAGATAGAAACATCGATGAGAGAGAAACATCGATCTGCTGCCTCTTGCACATACCCCCACTGGGGATGTGCCCGCAACCAAGGTACATGCCCTTGACCAGAATCAAACCTGGGACCTTTCTATCTGCAGGCTGACACTCTATCCACTGAGCCAAACTGGTTTTGGATATAATTGTGGTTTTTGCATTGAGTTGAATCAAAATCCTTAGTTTATTGGAAAATAATTGGCATCAAGTACATGCAACATGATAATGTTTTTAAATGACTGTGCTATTTCTGGGAGATCTCAAAATGATACAAAGATGGCAAAACATGTTTGTTTTAATAGAGTGACCAGTAGACTATAAGCTCTAGGTCAAGATTTTATATAGCTGGAGAGGAATCAAGATTAGATTGTAGTCCTAATTGTGGTAGTGTTCTTAGCTTGGACTTTAGCTAACTCATCACTTGGTCTTCTGATAGAAAAGGCTACCTTGTCAGAAGACTGTCACCTGAGAGGGTCACGTGATTATTGGCTGCTGATAAGCCACCTTCCCTACCTGCAGCGGACTATCTTGTCTTTGTCTGGATGGTGGTGGTGGAGGACTCGGAGGGTGAGGATGTAAGCCCAGATACAATATTGAATCATTAACCTGCAGCCCCTGAGTTCGTTACTGTGGCAGAGTTTGCATCAGTCACCCTTTCCTTTTCTGTGCTGGCTGGTGCTTTACTTCACCGGGGGGGTTCCACCCCAAACTGTACAAAACTGAAATGACATTGGGGCCACCTTTGGCCTCTAGAGTGATTTCAAGGACTGAAAGATTTACCTCCCTCCCCAGGCCTAGGAGCAGCCAATTGGAGCCCCTAGGTGAGGGTGAGTTTTTTATTGTGTGGGGCAAAGCTGAATTGAGCTGACGTTAGGAAGTGAGTCTTAAGGCAGATTTAGAGTGTTATTTGGGAAAGGTTGGTGCAGGGCAAGCAGAGAAGCACAGATGGAGAGGGAAAAGAGTAGAGATAATGCAAGTCTTATGGGGAGTGGAAGATTTGAGTGATACCAGAGGCTGCACAAAGGAATTACGGGTATTGAGGAATGTTTGCACTTTTGACAAAGTCTCAGCTTAACCATAAACCCTACTCAGTTGAAGGGCAGTTGGAGGCAATAACTCTCCTGGAGGGAAAAATGAGGAATCATGGAGATAATGCCCAAGATCCCGACCTGAACAACTCCGCTGGCTAAAGGGGGTGCTGTGACTCAGATGAAGAGCAGAGGCGGCAGGCCAGGGAGTGAGTGGAGCAGGAGCGAGGGAAGAGTTCGGTTTGGGGCCGGTGGCGTTAAAGGAGTCTAGGAGACATCTAAGTGGCAATGTTTAGGAGGCAGCTGGAGACACAGTCTGGAGCTCAGGAGAAAAGAGTGGTTTAGAAACACCAGTAACTTGTTTAGGACGGTTACTGCGTGTCTTTGAGGGATTAACAGACTTTGTTTTTTCATTCCCAATACAGATTCTTTAGTTGTAAAAGAACCAGTGGCTTTCCTCAAGGCCAACAGAGTCTGGGGAGTATTACGAGGTAAGATCCATGTCGTTTCATTGTTACCTTCCAGTAAAGAAATAGTTCCAGCTGGTGCTTTGGGAAAGCAAGCGCAGCAAAACTGTGCTTCCTTAGACATTTTACAGAACTGCTTGTTGAATATTTCCAAAGTGATTTCACTTTGACCTTTCAAAAAAGCTTGAGGATTATTACAGGCGGTGCTGTCATTCATTGATGCTATCAGAGCTGGGATGTTCCAGGGTTATAAGTGGCCCTAACCTGATCTGAGTAGGGGGTTTTGTTTCACTGTCACTTCTTGCTGCCTTTCCCTTTCCATTTTATTTATTTTTGGTTGTTTATTAAAAGTTCTCCTATATTTATTACTGAACCAACTTCCAAAGTGTACACATGTTGAATGATTACTATAAAGTGTTAATTAATATATAGTTTACTTTCAAAATTTAAAAGAATCTACAGAAAATAATTTCTTTGTCAACGCCTGTTTTCAAACTGATGACTGTTCTGGTCCAGCACTGCTGATAATGCAAAGCAATGGAATCGCAAATAATCAAGAATTATTTTGTTTGGTATTTGTGTGCCCTCAACTCATGCACTGATGCTGTTTTTGTACATAAATGTTATCTTTTTTGCATTCCCATTAAAAACCCCTAGTGGATAAATTTTCTTTGTTCAAAGTTCAGTCTGGCTTCGTCCATTATTTCAAATCAGTTAAACCTGAAAAGGAATGAAAATTCGGGGAATTACCATCTGTTAAAGTGTGTATATTGTGTCCCCCCCAAAATGTATACACACTTTGAATAATTGTAAAGTAAGTATTTGCGTTTCAACTGGATTTTCAAACTTCCGTAGCATTTTAGGATAAATTTCCTTTGTTCAGAGCTTAGCCTGGCTGAAAAGACAGAAACATCAATTGAGCTATAGCAGCTGTAAAGTGTGTATACATGTTTCGGGGAAACCCTGTATTTAATTTTATTTGCACTACCTGGTCATAGATCTGTGTTTGGATAATACAACTCTTAATTATTTCGGTTTGTTATTTTATAAATTATGCAACAAATTATAAATTTTACTTTTCCTAGGTTTGGAGACCTTTAGCCAGTTAGTATATCAAGATACTTATGGGACTGTAAGTATGATTATCATATGTTACCAACATTTTTGGATAGACATAACTACAAGAAAAATGCAAGCTTTTTAGCTATTTATTACCTCTTGAAGATTTCTTCTCCCCAAATATTTGTTAGCTGGCAAATGTAATTTTTACTTTTTTGGTTCTAAATTAATATCTTGTATCCGGTACTTGCATATATAGATGTAGTCTTTATTGAGCTCAAGTCAAGGGAAATTTTCTGAAAACAAGTCAACATTTATTTTGTCTTCTAGTTCACTGTCAATGAATCCACCATTACTGATTCTCCAAGGTTTCCTCATAGAGGAATTTTAATTGATACAGCCAGACACTTTCTGCCAGTTAAGAGTATTCTTAAAACTCTGGTAGGTAATTATTTTATTGTAATCCATTGTGCATTCTGAAGATGTGTCCTTTTATGTTGTTACGTTGTTAGTTATGCTATTACATAGGTTGGAATGGGGGGGGGGGGTCTGTTTTTATGTACTAAGTGTAAGCACTGACTCCCTTCTCTCCCTTGTGAGTGTATTTCCTCAGCTGACACAGAGTCTCCCCTAGGGAATAACACTGTTGTTTTCATGGGAGGATGGGGTAGGGGTTAACCACAAGGCGAGCCAGGATTAAGAGGACAGTTTTAATAGTGCTCATTGACTCTGCCTACTCCCGTTTGTCAGATCGTGGGTCTGGACCTCTGGTTAGGAATATGTGGCCACTGTACCTCTCTCTAGTGAGCGCCCTTTAATTCTGTGACCTCCACTTACTCTTTTTATGGTGACACGAAGACTGGGAACTGCATTATACCCAGGGAAATGTTCAGGCTGACAATAACTGTTTTCTCCTGTAGACTTGGTATTGGTCCACCCCTCCCCTCACTGCCACTTTGTAGCAGTGGGGAGGTTTTTCTCCCACGTTTTTCCGCACCTTCACTTGATCATTTACAGACGCACCATATTATTATTATTATTATTTATTATTTTTTAAAAAATATATTTTATTGATTTTACACAGAGAGGAATTGAGAGGGACAGAGAGTTAGAAACATCGATGAGAGAGAATCATCGATCAGCTGCCTCCTGCACACCCCCTACTGGGGATGTGCCCGCAACCAAGGTACATGCCCTTGACTGGAATCGAACCCGGGACCTTTCAGTCCGCAGGCCGACGCTCTATCCACTGAGCCAAACCGGTCCTGGCCTATTATTATTATTTTAAAATACATTTTAATTTCGGAGAGGAAGGGAGATAGAAACATCGATGATGAAAGAGCATCATTGATTGGCTGCCTCCTGCACACCCCCTACTGGGGATCGAACCTGAGACCCTCCAGTCTGCAGGCCAACGCTCTGTCTACTAAGCCAAACTGGCTAGGGCCACACATGGTATTATTAAAAAATTATTTCTACATTTATATTAATACCCTGATTTTTTTCCTCCAAAAGATGTCACTTTTATGAAAAAAAAATTGTAATATAAAAACTTCACCCAATATAGATATTCATAAAATAGGTAGTAACCCCATAATTTACCAAAGATCAACGTAAGTTTTCATGTCCCATTTATCTGGTTTTAGACTTAAAATATATATTATCAAATATTGTGACTTTTTAAAAAACTTAAATAGGATTATACTTTGCTATCTTTAAAATACAGTTATTGACATTTTTTAAAAAAATATATTTTATTGATTTTGTACAGAGAGGAAGGGAAGGAGATAGAGTTAGAAACATCGATGAGAGAGTCATTGATCAGCCGCCTCTTGCACACCCCTACTGGGGATGTGCCCGCAACCAAGGTACATGCCCTTGACCGGAATCGAACTCGGGACCCTTCAGTCCCCAAGCCGACGCTCTATCCATTGAGCCGAACTGGTTTCGGCAGTTATTGACATCTTTTAATGAAAGAATATATAAGATCTGGCCGAAACCGGTTTGGCTCAGTAGATAGACTGTCGGCCTGTGGACTGAAGGGTCCCAGGTTCGATTCTGGTCAAGGGCACGTACCTTGGTTGCGGGCACATCCCCAGTGGGGGGTGTGCAAGAGGCAGTTGGTCGATGTTTCTCTCTCATTGACGTTTCTAACTTTCTATCCCTCTCAATTCCTCTTTTGTGTAAAATCAATAAAATATATTTTTTTAAAAAAGGAAAAAATAAAAGAATATATAAGATTTGTATCATATTTTAAACAGTTGAATGTTTCATTTTATGTGCATTTAACCAATCTCCTCCTGAGGGACATCTAGGTTTATTATTATCACAAAGAGCAATGCAGAGTAAGTATTCCTATATTTGTACACTCATCAGGATTATTTTTAAGAATGTGGATCTCTGTGCGTAAAGACTACACATTTTATATTTGGTACGGACTGTCACAGACTGTCTTCTAGAGAGGTTATGCCATTGTATGCTTGGCCAACGATGGGGCATACCTTCACCACATTCTTGGCTAATCTGGTGATGGATATGTTGAGGGTAATGGCAGGATTTGCATTGTCAGAGAAGGGAATTCCTTGTGGCTTTTAAGCAAGACCAGGAGATGGAACTCCCTTCACTGCCATTATCCTCAACATATTCCTGTGTTTAATTCCCTTGTATGTAAGCTATTTCCCAAATGCACTAGCAAATCCCTTCTGTCCTGATGGAGAAGGCAGGCTTTAGATTTATCTGGCAGGGCACATACACCCATTTATTACCTTTTTAAAATAATCTTATATTTTATATAAACACTAGAGGCCCAGCGCAAGAAATTGTGCATGGTGATAGTCCCTAGGCCTAGCTGCGATCAGGGTCATGTGCGCCACCCTGCAATGTTCCCTCCACCTCTGCCACCCCCTTCCTGTGACGCTTCTGCGGACCTCCTACACTGTTGCCCCATGACACTCTGTGCTTGGCACCTGCCGATGCTAGCAAGTCCCATCTGCACCTCATGGCGACTGGTCAAGCGGTTGTTCCGGTCGTGATACTTAGGGTCTCTGGCCTTTTATTATATAGGATTACATTGTTAATTCCTCCAGAGTAAACATGTCAATTTCCCAAAAAACTTCTGAGATTTTGATTAGAATTGTATTGCATTTGTACCATATTTCTTTTATTTCTAAGGAATGGGTTAGCACTCAAATCTTTAGAACAGTGGGAATTGCAAGCTCTGGAACTTGAATGAATGCCTCCTTTTTCTTCTGCTCCATTCTCAAACATAGTAGTAGGAGCAGCCAAGAACTATTTTCCATTCTTGGCTGGTCCCTAAATACTTATTGGGAATTTATAACCTTGCTCCCTTCTCATAAAGCAAAGTTACAGCTCACTATTTAGAATGAATATAGATTCCATATAGGCTTTTCTTTTTGAAATATGGCATGCCATGTAAAATACATAAGACATGGGATTTATACTGCTCCCAGTCTTTCTTTGCTGAAAACTTTAAAAGGAAGCAGACACCTTGGAAACAATCCTGAGTGGAGATGTGTAAATTGGATTGTGTGTTATACCTGTGATATATGATATCATTTTTTAACTTTTTTTTTTTTTTTTTTTTTTTTGCAGGACGCCATGGCTTTTAATAAGTTTAATGTTCTCCACTGGCACATAGTTGATGACCAGTCTTTCCCTTATCAAAGCACCACTTTTCCAGAGTTAAGCAACAAAGTGAGTAACTTATGTTGTAGTCTGTTTACAAAAAGTTTTGGTAGCTTCATTAGAAATTTGTAGCTTTGATGTTTCTTATGGATAGAATTAAAGTGTACAAGTTAGATATTTGTGGTTTTAAATGTTTTCAAATAGGCTTTTTGACTCGGCATTTTTATTTATTTTTAAAATACGTTTATTGAGTTTAGAGAGGAAGGGAAAGGGAGAGATAGGAACATCAAAGATGAGAATCATTAATCAGCTGCCTCCTAAACGCCCCCTACCAGGGACCAAGTCCGCAACCCAAGCAGGTGCCCTGACCAGGAATAAATCATTACCCCCTGGTTCATAGGTTAACACTCAACCCTGAGCCACTCCAGTTGGGCTTTTTTTCCTTAAAATTTGTTATTTTTTTATGAAGAAATTAATTTGTCCAAATAGTTTCCCATAGTCTGGGTTTTGCTAATTGCATTCCCATAGTGTCAATTAACACATTTGTCTGTATTTACTATAAACTGGTGGACTGGATATTAGATCTAATCTTGATTTGACACAAATTTTATTTGGGGGATGGAGCAAGGCTAATTTTAGGAGTTGAGATTTATATTTATGTGTTACATATGCATTTATATATTACTAGAGGCCCAGTGCAGTGGGGTCCCTCAGCCTGGCCTGTGGGATCCAGCCAAAACTGGCTCTCCAACATCCCTCAAGGGATTCCAGATTGCAAGAGGGCACAGCCCAGGCCAAGGGACCCTTCCAGTGCACGTTTGGGGCTAGGAGGGACTGCAGGAGGGCTCCAGGGTGTGTCCAGCCTGTCTCGCTCAGTTCTGATTGGCCAGAACCCAGCAGCAAGCTAACCTACCGTTGGAATGTCTGCTTGTGGTTGAGTGGCCTTAGTATATCATTAGCATATTACACTTTGGTTGAACAGATGACCAGACAACTAAACACTTAGCATATTGGGCTTTTATTATATAGGAGGATATTTATACTTTGAGAAATGTGCTACAGTAATAGCTTTAATGGACCTCTATCTTTAGTTACAACCAGTATTGAGTTCTAATTTTTCCAAGTGACCTATAAAGAAACTGAGGGTAACCTTAAAGAAATAGCTGGTCACTTATCAGTGTTTCTGGGGTAATTTTTAAAGCTGATAGTAATTAAAGTGACTTTAAAAGACAATAGTTATGCTTTGTAGTAACTTCCAAATTTTTATTCTATATTGCCAAGGGCAATGTATTTCATTTTCAGACTTTTCACTTTGGAGTCAAACATTTTTTTTCTGTCTTGTATGGTTACATGAGGTTGACAGAGAAGAATAAGGGGTTGTTTTAGATAGACCTATCAGTAAATGTGGAATTAATGTAAAGTGTGCTGAGAGCTTATGGAGATAAGATATGGTAAGTAATTTAAATGAGTCATGAAACATTACATGGAACTGTTTAATACATTGTGATACGGAAAAAAATTTAGCTATGAGATATCAAATAGCAATTAGGACTGTTAACAGTTTTTAGGACCAAATATATTCATACATTTAAATTAATATGGATTTACAGGGAAGCTATTCTAAGTCTCATGTTTATACACCAAATGAGGTCCGTTCGGTGATTGAATATGCCCGATTACGGGGGATTCGAGTCATACCAGAATTTGATAGCCCCGGACATACACAGTCTTGGGGAAAAGGTAAGTGTTTTATGAGTTGCAAAAGTGAACATTTGAGGTCCTGTACCTCCTATTTTATGACTTGGTGTTGGCTCATTTTGTTCTTTGTTATTTACACAAAAGGCAGCACTATTGACAGATATAATTCAATTAACTATTATGTGTCTGTTTTGAATAAGTCGCTGTGTGTAGGCACTGCCTAAAGTATAAAAATAAAATAAAGGAAAACATACAAAGTGACTATGACAAGTAGAACATAGTAAATGAATTCAAAAAATGGTTTATTGCCCAAGTTTCGTGGTTAGCAAACTGCGGCTCTTTGGCCCCTTGAGTGTGGCTCTTCCACAAAATACCATGACCTGGGCGAGTCTATTGTGAAGAAGTGGCGTTAGGAGTTGTTTAAAAAATTTGGCTCTCAAAAAAAATGTCCATCATTGTACTGTTGGTATTTGGCTCTGTTGACTAAAGAGTTTGCTGACCACTGCCCTAGTCAGTTTGGCTCAATGGATAGAGTGCCGGCCTGCAGACTGAAAGGCCCCGGGTTTGATTCCGGTCAAGGGCACATGCCTAGGTTGCAGGCTCAATCTCCCAGTGGGGGTGTGCAGGCGGCAGCCAGTCTGTGATTCTCTCATCATTGATGTATGTTTCTCTCTTCCTCTCTGGGGGAAAAAAAAAAAAAAAAAAAAAAAAAAAAAAACATAGGAAGAAGAAATGGTTTTATGGATGAGCTAACACTTATGCCTTTGAGAGATTAAAGAATATATTTATTTTTCTAGTGGAGGGAATAACATGAGAAAAGGCATTTAGATGGAGTACATTACAGCAGAGAAGAAGGAATTTTATTACAGGGTGGTTAAGAACTGGCTCTGGAGCCAGACTGCCTGACCTTGGACAAATCATAGAACATCTCATCCTCAGTTTCCCCATCTCTAGAATGGGAATGTTAGCAGTAGTTACCATGTAACTTTTTGAGGATTAAATAATGAATGTTAAGCACACTGTACAGCACCTAACATAATTGTTCAATAAATATTACGGCGGACATGGAAAATAGTGGGAAATAAATCTGGAAAAGTGCAGGTAGAGGTCTTGTCTGAGGAATGTGGTCTTCATCAAGATACCTAGAAACCAGTGAAAGTTATAAAGCAGAAGAGTGACATGAGGGAGTTACACTTCAGAAAAACCAAAGTGAAAGTGACAGATTGGAAGGGGAAAGAGACTGAAGTCCTAATGGAAAATAATGTACAGAACTCAGAGACATTTTGGAAATATAATCCACAGGATTTGGCAACTTCCTGACTTTAGGAGAAAGGGAAGAGTTATAGACTGGGAGGATGGTGGTGCCCTTACCAGAATACAAAAATCAAGAGAAGCTCCTGAAGGAGCTCAGGGAACAGAACATTTAGTTTTATTGGGTTGTATCTGAAGTGCAGATAGTATGTTTAATTGTGTTGAGCAAGGAATCTGAAATATGGATTGAAGCTCAAGAAAAAGTTGGGGCAAGTGAAGATTTGGAAATCATTAGTAGTCAAGATAATATTTGAAGTGGATAGGATCTCAGAGGCTGAAGAAAAGGGAAACAAAGAGGTACTGGGATGGGATTCAGGAAACAATTCTCCAACAAAATAGTCTTATAGTTATGTGCTGAGCCATATCTTTGTAATCAAATTACTTTTTAAGAAGAGAATCTTCTTGTTTTTCTCCAGGTCAGGAAAATCTCCTGACTCCATGTTACGGTGGCCATCAACCTGAAATTTCTGGACCTATAAACCCTACTTTGAACACAACTTACAGTTTCCTGTGTAAACTCTTCAAAGAAATCAGTTGGGTGTTTCCAGACCAGTTCATTCATTTGGGAGGAGATGAAGTGGAATTTGAGTGCTGGTATGACAATTCTTTAAAACCCTTGTTTTCTTTAACCATTGCATTTGAAGTAGATTTAAAGGTCTCCACAAGGAAAGGGAAGATTTGGGTATCATCTCTGCTTGCGTGGTTTTCATTTGGCAACACAAATCCTGAGATGGTGATTTTGGGGTAATATGAGAAAGTAAAAGCTTTTAAAAAGAATCAAAATGCAGAAGAAAATGGAGATTTAAAAACAAACAAACAAAAGACTATTGAATGAAAACAGATTTAGTGAAAGTTATGAGTAAGAGTGTGTGTATTTTTCAAATAAAAAATCCTCTTTGCAAATAGCCATAAATGGAGGAGAGAGGCAAGAGGTTGGGAAAGCCATTTTTATAAGAAATCCGCTTCTGGAAAAAAGTACTTGTTGTGGAAAACAAATATAACTCATAACTAAGTTTTTACTTTACAACTTTAATAGTTAAAGTCGGTACAAATGATGGTAAGATGTACGCTTTACATAGATTGGGCACATCAAACTAATGAAATTTTAATCGTTTTTTTTTGTGTGTATTTTAAGGGAGAGCAATCCAGATATCCAGAAATTCATGAAGCAGAAAGGCTTCGGCACTGATTTTAGAGAACTAGAATCTTTCTATATGCAAAAGTAAGTTACTTGAAAGCCTACTTAATTTCCATCAATGCCTTTTGCAAAAGTTTTAGCTATTCGTAGTACTGTTTCATTTTCTCTCCACCCCTTGCTGAAGTGTACATGTTGTATACTTTGCATGAAAAACCATAAAGAAGCATTATCCACTGCTTTCTTCAAATCAGTGAACATGGTAACGGTAAGCCGTTTGCAGTAACTATAGGACAGCAGTCATGTGTTCTAAGCACTCAGCTGAAAGCCCTCGGCTACCCTAGGAAGGCCTCACCACCATCCAGCCCCTTCACTCATTTCCAGAAGCATTTTTTTACTTTATACCTGTCCAGTGTGGTAGCCATGGCCACATGTGGCTATTTGCATGTAAGTTAAAGAACATTAAAAATTCAGTTCCTTAGTCACATTTCAAATGTCCGCTCGCTGGATGAGTTTGGGAGTGTATCCCATGTTGGAAGGTGCACATATACATACAAGCACTCTTCCGCCACCGCGGAAAGTCTCTGGGCAGTGCTGTCCCATACCAGGGACCAGTATACTTTGTTTTGTAAAGGCCAGAAAGTAAATATTTTAGACTTTGTGGGCCACATCTACTAGTTACACTTTCTTCTTCTTTTTTTTTAAAATACTTTACAAATGTAAAAACCATTCTTGGCTCATGAGCCACACAAAAACAGGCTGTAGTTTGCTTGCACTGGGCAATCCCGGATTCTAGTCTTTTCCTATTTCGCTTTGTGTATGATACATTCTAATTTATTTTTTTATCCTGCAGAGTACATGACATGGTCTAAATATCAAGAAATACTTATGGGCTGATTGTCAGCAACTGTTAAGTGTTTTTTAGGTGACATGAGATTGTTATTTGTATATTTTCTGTTAGCTGCCCTGTCTTCCTTTTTTGGGCACATACTTATTAGCTCATTCATCAGCAAGTGACCGTTACACCCCTCCGCTGTGTCAGCTTCTGAGCCATGTTCTAGGAAGGAGTAGACACATGGCTTACCACCAAATTTAACAGGTTCTGCTATCAAGCTGTGCTATATTGAAAGGTATCTCTCACTATTGCCGTCCTTCGTAGAAAATATGCATGCTTTAAACATACTGTTAAGCTTGTGATCTGAAATGACTTTTTTCCCTCCAATGGTAGGCTTTTGAATATTATTTCAACTCTAAAGAAGGGATCCATAGTCTGGCAAGAGGTTTTTGATAATCATGTAAAGGTGAGAAGTATGAAAACTACATTTGATTCTGATACTATGACAGGCTTCATGTTCTGATATCTCCATTCCCCAATTATATGGGGAAACCAGCTTCCTGTTCCATTTAAACTTTTATTAGACAGTAGCTGTGCACTGAGACCAATATTAATGGTGTTTGTTTCTTTTCTTCCATTTACTTCACTCTTTCCTGCCTCCTCATTTTTCCTCTCCTCCCCTCATCCCCTGTCATCTCATTAATCACAAATGGGAGTACTTTGAAGTAAGCTTTTTTTTTTTTTTTTCCCCAGGAAAGGGCAGAACAAATGAGTCTTTACTGCTAGTAAGGTAGTTTTAGGTAAAATTGCCAATGTACACTTTTTATTTTACATGGCATCTAATTCTTACCCAAAATTCTTTATTTTCCTTTGGGGCAACTGAGAATTTGCAACTCCAGAAATTAGTATTCCAGAAGGGTCGTTGGCATCCTCACAATTTGAAAGTAAGGAAAAACAATAGTGTGATAGGATGGACTAAATCCTTGGTTCATTACATCTGTAAGGTGTCATAAATACGCAAAAGTTAAGTATCCAACCTAATGGTTAATGCAACTTCTAAATTTAAGTCTCTATAAGAAATAGCATTTGGTACTAATGTAAGAGGAAGGGTAAAGATGACAATGTTTAAGTTTTTTCAAGGATCTTAAGTTTTCTAGTTACAAGTCTTGGACTTTAAATATCGCCTACTGTATTTGCTAGACCTAATATATATATATTGCAATTTTTAACTTCAATAGCTTCAGCAAGGCACTATAGTTCAAGTATGGAAAGAGGAAATGTATACTGATGATCTGCGTGCAATCACAGCAGCTGGCTTCCCTGTGATCCTCTCTGCTCCGTGGTACTTGGACAGGATCAGTTATGGACAAGACTGGAGAGTATACTATGCAGTGGAACCTCTTGATTTTAGTGGTAAGTGAAGCAACATCATTACCCTGATTTTCTTCACTCCCCTCCCTCCAGGAAATCCTTACCTAGATATTACCTACTAACTTTGTTCCCTTTTATGTTTGATTCTTGGTTTTGTGTTTACTTAAAAAGGAAGATCTCAGTATTATTTGAAATGTGAAATAAACCAAATCCTTACCTAAATAAAAGAACTTCAAAAGTGGATTCCCTTAGATTTTTATCTCAATTTTCACGGATGAGTCTTGTTACTCTCCACCTGCATTTTTTAAGTCCTCACCTGAGGATAGGTTATTAGTGTTTATTTTAGAGAGAGGGGAAGGAAGAAAACAGCAATCATTTGCCCCCCGTACACACCTTGACTGAGGATCAAATCCACACAGTAGGTATGTACCCTGATTAGGTAGTTGGTCTCTTTTTTACTACCAAGAGACAGATATTAAAGACAGGAGTGGTGGTCACTATTATTCCAACTTGTGTTCCCTGGCACACAATTCACAGGCAACCAGGGGGGAAAATATTTCTGGTGACCAAACATTTTATATTGCAGAAAACCAATATAAAATGGTGTCTTTAATACTGACCCACCACGTAGTTGACACATGCTAAAAAGCACTGTGTGAACCTCGGGGGCAGGAATGAAGTTTGCACCTTTTCTGATGCCACCACCATGAACATCTCCCAAGATTCTGCTGCCTACAGGAGAAAAATGTAGACCCGGGATGAAGAGTCAGGCAATACTGACTTACCTTTCTGTTTGTCTGCCTTAAGCTGCAATTACTTAATCAACCCAATGATTTTAATGTAGGTACTCAGGAACAGAAACAACTTGTCCTTGGTGGAGAAGCTTGTCTGTGGGGAGAATATGTGGATTCAACTAACCTCTCTCCGAGATTATGGTATGGAATTTAAGTGGTAACATTTGAATTAAGGTGCCTTAGTTTTCCTTCTCCATCCAAGTTGGAAAGCATTAGGAATGCCCCCACACTTAAGACTTAGATACTCACTTCTTTAAGAAAGCATGAATTTAAAATGCACAAATTTAAAATGCTTTGGAAGACATCTGCTTTAAATTTTAGGCCTCGGGCAAGTGCTATTGGTGAGAGACTCTGGAGTGGGAAAGAGGTCAGAAGTTTAGATGATGCCTACAAAAGACTATCAGCTCACCGCTGCAGAATGGTCCGGTAAGTCTGTTTTTCAAGGTAGGATATTATTAAGTCCAGGGTGACTTTTAACCTTATATACTGTTAGTTTGCTTCTTGGGTATTTTTGCTATAAGTAGAAATGTATATCACCTAAGAAGTAGTGACTTAATTAGGAAAAATTAGGAATACCTATAAGAAGATATATTTTGGACCTCCATCTTATCTTTTAAAAATAATGAATGCTGTGGTTGGTGATTCTGATTTAAGCTACTAAGTTTTTAAGATGGAAATGAGTTATATCTAAAACATTTTATTTATACTCTATTCTACAGACGCGGAATAGCTGCAGAACCTCTTTTTACTGGATATTGTGACAATGTGTTGAAATGATTTGAAAACGAGGAGGGGGAAAGGCCCAGAGCAGTTTACTACAATCAACTTGGTTTTGAAATAATGTAAAATTAAGATTTGGTACATTGTGTATAAATAAAATATCTTTGTATTGATTGAACTTCTATCTTTACATATACAAGACTGGCATCTTTGTGAAAGAAGCTTAAAAATATAAAAATGTAACTTGGTGATATTCCTCAATATATTCCAAAAAGCTGTGTCTTTATTGACAGTAATAACCTCGTGTACACTCATATAGTTCAGGAACATTAACTCTCAACATCAAAGCACATATCTCATGACATAAAGTAGAATAGCAGCTACCATGCCACTGTCAGTTTTAAGTGACATTTTTCAGCCACTTAAACAGTAACAGTAATTTTATGCCCAATAAATAAAGCAATAAAAGTTGTTCTTACTAAAAACAAATAGGTAGGTGCTCCTGAATTTCTTTCCAAGGACCTTGAAGCATTTAGTTCAAACCACTTCTTCGATTGAGCAGCGTACTTTGGTCTTGAGGGTTCATGGCTTGGTAATTAGAGAGTTCTAAGGTAAACGTAGCTGAGCCTGATGTTAGCGTTCGAAGCACAGTTGAATAACCCTAATCAAAAACATTTAAATCAGTTCTCTTCCAAATTAAGTCTCAAGTTTCTCTTCCTGCCACTTATCTTTTGACCATTAGCAGAAAAGCTGATTAAGTAACTTAACTATATTACTTCTTCAAATGGTCACTGAGTCATTTTCCTCAGGAACAAACTGAAACCTGTGGAGGACTGAGCACACTGTATGCTCCAGGTGTAGCCCCTGGTCCCGGCCTTTGTGAGATGCCTGCCAGCACTCAGGTGCTTGTTCTGGAGCAGAGAGGCTGGTGGAGAGGAGAAGGACACTTGCCTGAAAACTGGCGATTTAAGAAACAGTCTAAGAGCTTAGAAGGGAAAAATGGTAGGCTGGTGCCACATTTTGGTTCAACACACCTCTACCTCCATGGAGGACGAAGGGACCCCCATGCTTGAACCTCCTAACAGTTCCTGATGGCGAAACGGGAATGCAGCCTCTACCTCAAAGCCCTGATGCCTCTTTCAGGTGTCACTGATTATCCCTCTGTGCTCAGCCTATCTGTCCCTGTATTAAAATTATACTTTTTAGTGACAAGGTGCCTACCATGGTCTCTGCTAAGGGAACAAACCCAACCACAACTCTGTTGTCCTGACGAGTCTGGATCTCCTGAATGAACCCTCTTCTCTGTGCCAGATCTGCCAGGACAGCGCTGAGGTGCTCTCTAGTCACCGTGACCTCCAGGTTCATCAAGGGCTCCAAAATTTGCTTATCAGCGGTCTTCAGAGCCTAAAAAAATTAAAGAATGCCAATCCATTTCTAAATTGGAAGTCAAATTTCTGTTTAAAAATATCCTTAGCTCAGCCAAGTGTGGGTCAGTGGTTGAGCACAGACCCAGGAACTAAGAGGTCACTGGTTTGATTCCTAGTCAGGGCATATGCCCAGATATCAGACTTTGCTCCTAGTAGGGAGTGTGCAGGAGGCAGCTAATCAATAACTCTCATATCGATGTTTCTCTGTCTCCCTCCCTCCCATTCTCTAAATATCAATGGAGAAATATCCTCAGGGAATTTTAACTTCTAGGATAGAGATACTTAGGGTCAGCCTTCGTAAGTCAAGAGGCTTGAGGTATAGGAAGTTAATTTTATAATTATGGATTCAAATAAGACTATAGAAAATCAGGTCTCACGGTATAAAATGTTAGAAGATGGTTCTAAAAGCAAGTATTTTAATGCACCTACGAGGCTAAGCATCCCCAAACCGTTTCCTGGCATATCAGGACCCTGGGGGTTAATCCAGCTGCAGTAGGTATTAGGTAACCATGCCAAAACGACCAGGTTGCTTGATTTGAGAAGGGAAGATGCTTATCCTGAACGTAGCAATTCTTGATTACAGGTAATCGTACTTGAATAAATATGAACTCCAATATTGAAACAAAAATTCGATACTCAATGTCCTTTATTTGTAGCTCATCTTTGGCCAAGCTGTCTTCTACTCAAACCTACCAAGCTTGTTTCTACCGGCTGTCTGAGAGAGAGAACAGAGTGGCCACCTAAGGAAACTTGACTATTTGTCCAAACCAAGGGATATTTCATAGCTAACGATGTTAAACAGAGATTTATTAGATCCTCTTGCAAATAAAACCCAGTGGTTAAAAAAAATAAATTATCCATTGACTACAAGGCTCAGGAAGCAAAGATAGGTCGGCACTACAAGTACAGCTGCCTGCAGATCAGAGTACACTGCTGTCAGAAGAGCCACCTTAAAGGAAAAAGGATCAGGGTGGGTATATACCTTCTGTACACATCTTGAGACACAGGCAGAAATCATAGTTGAGGAGGTACCAGGATGAATGATCAGTGAATGTAAAGTAATTGCCACATCTTGAACTGGGGATCCAAGCAATGGTCCTAGGCAAGGGGGGAACATCTGTATTAGGACTCAATTGTGCAGTGAGGAGTAACTGAGAAATGTAAAGAAACAGGGAGAGCACTTCCAGTTTAGCGAAAGTAGCTTCTTTGGAAGTCACCACTCTGTCCTAACAACAAGTAGCAGGAAACCGGCCTGACAAATCAACAGCTCTTCTTGGATCTTTTAGGTGGGAGGACAAGGGATAAACTACTGCCCCCAAGAATGGAGAGAGGGCAAATACGGAGGGTCACAGCTTCCTGGAACAAAGACTTGCTTGAGAAAATGCCCCAGGAACCAGCACCAGGGTAAGAAAAACTGAACGGTGATTGACAGTGACTGGAGGCTTGGTGTGGACAAGTTTGGGGGGAACTGTCACGAAGGGGACACAATTCTGTGAGATTTACCTCCAGAAGCTCAAGCAGGTTCTCACAGTACTAGTAACTATCTGAGAAAAGCCTCCTGGCGCTTCATGTGGGAAGAAGAAATCATTCTGAAATATAGTTAACCCTTGAAAATGCAGGGTAGATAGAGGAACCGACCACCAAGCAGACAAAAACCTGCGTTTAATTCTTAACTCCTTTAAAACTTAGAGTCGGCCCCTTCCCCTTTGTATCCATTGCTTTCGCATCCTTGGATTCAACCAACTACAAATCAAAACAGCACTTTAGGCCCTGGCTGGGTGGCTCGGTTGGTTGGAAGTGTCCTGTACACTGAAAAGTTGCAGGTTCAATTCCCGGTCAAGGCATATACCTAGGTTGCAGGTTAGATCCTGAGTCGGGGTGTGTGTGGGAGGCAACCAATGTTTCTCTCACATCAATGTTTTTCTCTCTAAAATCAATTAAAAAAATACCTTAGGTGAAGATTAAAAAACAACAATAGTACTTTAGACTCCAGAGCACTTTTTTCATTTTTAATTTGATTTTGAGAGAGGAAAAGAGAGAGAGAAGAAAGGAGGGAAAGAGAGAAACATTGAATTGTTGTTCCACTTATTGATGCATTCACTGGTTGACTCATGTATGTGCCCTGACTGGGGATCAAACCTGACAACTTGGTGTATCCAGACGATGCTCTAACGAACTGAGCTAACCGACAAGGGCCAGAGCACTCTGTTCCTAACAAGGCCTGCACTCAGGGAACCTAGTTAACCGAAGCCTAACCTGCAAGGGGATCAGCATCATCAGAGGCTCATGGGGGAAGTGCCCTATTCCAGTCCACTCCGGCCATCCTGTCTCACATAAGGGGAGTGAGAAAAACTAAGACACTTGTGCAATTCACAGTCCAGAGGCAAAGATTCATTAAAAGATGGAGACCTAACCCTAGGCTAGGGAGGGCGGCCCTCCCCACACCTCATTACATTACTAAATTCCTGTTTACAGCCATTCCTTTTACCCAGTATAATATGTCTGGCTATCAAGAAAAAATTACAAGGCATATTAAAAGGCAAAAAGCACAGTTTAAATAGAACAAGCACCAGAATCAGACACAGCAGGGATGTTGGGATGATCAGATCGGGAATGTAAACCAACCATGATTAATGTGCTAAAGGGCTCTGACAAATAAAGCCGACAGCATGTAAAAATGAAGCAGAGATAGATGGAAGTCCTGATTAAGAACCAAACAAATACTGGAGCTCAAAAGCACCATCACAAAACAGGGATGCCTCTTGATGAGCTTACAAGTAGGCTGGACAGGCTGAGGAAACTAGTTTCTGAGTCAGGCTGGCCAGGTGGCTCAGGTGGTTAGAGAATTGTCCTGTACACTAGTTCAATCCCCAGTCGGGGTACATATGGGAGGTAACTGATCGATGTGTCTGTTTCTTTCTCTCCCCCATTTCTCTCTGAGTTATATATCAGCAGAAACCTCCAAAACTGAAAAAGCAAACTATACGTAAGACTGAGAAACACAGAACAATGGGATAATTATAAAAGGTATAACATACACATGATGGGAAGGGAGACTGAAATAGTCGGTAATATTGGGAGTGAGTGTGATATTCATGCTTACTCTTATCTGTGGCACCGTACCTTGGAGGCATGCACTATGGATTCCATTTTCAATGGCCTCTCGGGAGTCCTTCAGAATGTCTTCAGTAACGCTTTCAGCATACTCGATAACTGGCACAGCAGATGACATTTCTTCAGTTGGCTTTGCTTCCAATTCTACAGTCACAAGGTGCCGTTTGTCTCCTATAGTCCTATCTACGGTATCTGTAAACGAATACAGATTTGTTCTGAAAAGGTGTCAAGGTGCCAAAACTGGGAAAACTGCAACCAACAAGTTCAAGCTCTCATGAAAGATTAAGTGCGAGAAAATACTAACAGTGGCACTAAATGCAGTATGAAAATGTCAAAGTAAGTAGTTCTACCAAGAAAATATCTGCTTCCATGTTTACAAATGCTATAAACCTGCTCTGAATCGCCAATTAATACTGCTAAGATGATCTGAAGCAGATGATCACAAATTTTTATATGTAGATTATACTCAAATTTTTTGAAACATCTCTTATGTGACTGAAATTCTAATTATAAAAT